AGTGGTCATGGTGATTGGAGTAACCCTTTAAAGGATAGCAAAGTTTGTTTTGTGGAAAATAAATATAAATAACAGTGGTTCACATGGGCGCTGCTGGAAACTTTGGGAGGTGACGCACTTTAGTCTCAAACGTGTAGGATAGCATTCATTCAAACAACAGCACAGAAGAGTGAAAAGGGAAAGGAAATTAAAAATCGAAATACAGAAATTAAAAACTTATAGAAATTTACCACAAAAAAACTACTTAATGAACTGTTTTAAACAGAATGTGGTGGATGTGAACATAAAGTGATGTTTGATTTTCTTAATAAGGTGTCGCTACATCAATTAATAGTTCAAGTCACATGAAATTATATATATATAGCTGGTGCACAACATACAAAACAGGCTTGTATGGCCTTGAAATTCCTTCACCTTTCCAATTTTCATGGTACAGTGATACTGTGCATCATAGCAGAATACTCAAAATACTAAATTCAATACTCAAAGAATACTTTTCATACAGTCACACTAATTAGTCATAAGTGCACATGACAAATGAACCAGGGAACCCCAGGCGACTGCAGCGCTGTCCGGGCCGGCGCGTCCATGAGGGTGCACTGTCCCGGGGACACAAGATATGAGGGATCAGCACAGCGCTCCCTCCTGCCAGTCCCTCAGTGTAGCGTGGCTGTGCTCCTGTCTGCTGTACAGGAACATCCGTTTCCTGTACCTGGCCGGACTGACAGGAAGTGCTCACTTAGTGGCTCGCTACACTAAAGGACCACCTGGGGACGGAAGGGGGGGAGAGAGAGGGAGGTAGAGACCAGCTGGGGGAGGAAGAAGGGGGGGTGAGAGAGGGAAGTAGAGACCACTGGAGGGAGGGATGGGGGGGGGGAAGAGAGGGAAGGCGAGACCACCCTTACACACACACTGCATCCCTTACACATAGAAACACAAAATGCATCCCTTACACACGCACACAAACATACACCGCCTCCAGAGAGCCTGTTCTACCCCAGACCAGTGGAGCTAGACTGCAGCCAGAGCCCATCATCATCCTCATCTGGTTGTAAGTAGGCAATCTAGTATATTATTAGTGACACTAATTTCTAATTTACCTCACATTAAAGGGACACCATAGTCCCCAGAACCACTGCAGCTTAATGTTGTGGTTCTGGTGTCTATAGCCTGTCCAGGCTTTTTATTGTAAACACACACTGTGTGCAGCACTGGCATTGGTTCATATGACAGATTATATGGGTGGGGCATTATGATGTTACATGGTGGGTATCGCATATGGGGGTGTGGCAAATTTTTATTTTGCCTATGGCGGCAAAAATTCTTGCACCAGCCCTGAAATGAACATACACATTGTGAACATAAACAATAGTGCAACTATTAAAAAGGCACACTGTTCCATTTCCTTTATCTGACCACCATCTGCTAAACTTTGACATCAGCAAACCCCATACCCAAATTCCACCACCCTCAACTCTCCAATTTCACAGAAACCTCCACTGCCTTGATCTCCAGCATTTCTCCACCAAACTCCAAACTCTCCTTTTACCCATCTCAAATCTCACTTGCCCTAACTCTGCAACCTCACTAGACATCATGGCACCCCCTACATTTAAATCCAGCAAGTGTTCCCAATTACAACCCTGGCACACCTAGCTAACCCGATATCTCCAAAAATGTTCAAGAACTGCTGAACGCTGTTGGAGAAAGTCTCACTCTGCACTTGACTTCCTCCACTATAAATTTATGCTGCGCTTCTACACTCCGGCTCTTTCCTCTGAAAAAGTAAATTACTTCAATACCCTCATAACCACACTCTCCCGCGAACCCAAACGACTATTTCACACTTTTAATGCTCTCCTTCACCCTGTTACTCCCACTCCTCCTACCACCCTGCCCGCCTCAAAACAGAACTTCTGGTCTTTCATCCCTCAAGTGTCTCCACTCCCGTGTCTGTCTCCCTTCAAGTCAATGGCGCCACCATCACCTCTACCTTGCAGGCTCGCTTCCTAGGTGTTCTCTTTGACTCCGACCTCTCCTTCACCCCTCATGTGCAGTCGATCGCCAAATCCTGCCGCTTTCATCTCAAAAACATAGCTCGCATCTGCCCTTATTTAACACCAGACACAGCTAAGGTGCTGGTCCATGCCGTTGTTCTTTCTCGCCTTGACTACTGCAATCCCCTTCTCAGTGGTCTTAAGTGTTCCCAGATTGCACCGCTGCAATCTATAATGAATGCGACGGTGAGGCTCATTTTCCTGTCCGCCCGCACCTCCCACGCCTCCCCTCTCTGTCAGTCCCTACATTGGCTTCCAGTTAGATATAGGGTTCAATTTAAGATTCTGGTACTTGCTTACAAGTTCCTACATATTATCCTCACTAATACACAAATATGTCCCGTTGAGGCCCCTGTGCTCTGCTGAAGACCTACGCCTATCCTCTGTCCATACTCCCACATCTGATGCTTGCCTCCAAGACTTCTCTAGGGCTGCACCTTTTCTGTGGAACTCCCTTCCCTTCTCTGTTAGACTTTTACCTAGTCTCCACTCCTTCAAAAAATCTTTGAAAACACACATTTTCAGGAAAGCATATCATTTAAACTGTTAGCGGGTTTTCATCCCCCCCATGACTCCTCTCCTGCAACTGTCAAACATAACCTACTAAGTTCTCAGTGATTACTTTTCTAGCAACCTATTTCATTATCCCTACTTATACCCTTTGTGTCACTATACCCCACTCCCTCTAGCATGTAAGCTCACTGAGCCGGGCCCTCAACCCCTCTGTTTCTGTGCGTCCATTTGTCTGTTTACAATTATGCGTCTGTTAGTGCACCCATTGTACAGTGCTTACGGAATTTGCTGGCGCTATAAAAATAGATTCTAGCACTAATATCTGGCTGTTGTTAAAATCAACAGCTTCCACCTGCTATTTACAGACAAGACTGAAAGCAAGAAGTAAGACTTTTATTCCTAATTATTGCATACTGTCTGATTTTACCCTGCAAGATACATCAGCAACCAATCACTCATATTAGAGCTGGACATTGACAGAAATTCCTAGTAATCGTGGGATTACTACTACTATAGCACGTATCCAGTGTGTCCTTAGTTATTGATTATTTCATGTTTTTCTATTTACTGTCTGGGCTCTGTTGCAGTATTGATTTGATTCTTGTTTGTTTAAAATGAAAAGTCTGTTTTGCTCTTAGTATGGATTCTTCCTCATTGCCTGAATCCCACATTATGAGACACTTTCCTGAATCCCTGCTGCACTCTGGGATACATCAAATCCAATCAAGTTTTGGTTTTCAAAAGGAGTTATCAATAACTTAAAAGGACCTTAAAGGTCTTGAAAGCACTATTGTAACAAAAAACCTATACCCCAAAATATAGTAGTGTACATCAGCACAGAGTAGAATGACCACCACAGGTGTCTCCACTGATCTGACGATAAATGCAAGCAATGTTAAAGGAACACTATAATGTTAGGGATTCAAACACATATTCCTAACATTTAAGTTTGAACTACCTACTTGGGTCCCCGGCCCCTCAGAGTAGAGAAATAAGGTTTTAAACTTACCTTTTCTCCCTTGCTGTGCCGGTCTCACCGCAGCTGGCCCTGCCCCCATGGCAAAGATCATCAAGATTGATGATCTCAACCAATCCAATGCTTTCCTATGGCAAAGCATTGGGAGGCTATTGTGCATGTGCAGCACAAATTTCACGCCAATCAGCATAACCTCATAGAGATTAATTAACTCAATGCATCTCTGTAGAGAGCTTTCAAAAACTGTGCAGCACTGAAATAGGAAGTACCTCTAGTAGCCGTCAGAGTGACTGCCACTTGAGGTGTTACTAGGCAAAAATGTAAATACTGCCTTTTCTCTGTAAAGGCAGCACTTACAATAAAATGCCTGCAGGGACTGGCTATAGACATCAGAAGCTGTAGTGGTTCTGACTATCGTGTCCCGTATTCATGAATTAGACTAATTAAGGACTGTAGCTACAATATAACAGTAAAATCCCCAGTATACATGGGTAGAACAGTTGAAAAATCCACTTGAAAACCTTAAAGAAATCCACACACTGCAATGTTCAATGGAACACAGTAGGTTAATCACACACATGTCACTTAGTGTACTTGTTGTCAATAACCTTCAGCCTGTGATTTAACTGAAAACTCAGAGGAGTCTTTTTTTTTTTTTTTGGGTTAATCCTCGTGATATTAGTTTACTGAGCTTGACACTGCAAAATTAACAATGACATAAGAAGTTAACACAGTCTATTCTATTTCAGTTAAAGGAACTCCTGTGCAAAGGGAAGCACTGCTATTGCAACTTAAAAATCAAAAACATGGATCATTCAAAAGAAAAACCCACCGAGTGGGAGTTGACTTATTCTAAGTTCCATGTTTTGGGAGGTCACAAAAGACATTTCTTGAGTCCATCATAACATGTCTACTGCCCTCATTAATTGTCTCTTTATTAAAGAGGTGTGAGTAAAATTTCAAGAAAAAGTAAATAAATCAATAAAAAATATGATCTAATGTCCCATTAGTAAAGAATGTCCTTTTGTGGTTTCTCCAAATTAGTTAAGAAAACTTGGTACCCGGGCACTTAACTCTAGGGTGAGTGATGTCACTGGTATCCTCTCTGGGCTGTAGTGTAATGCACAAAAATAGGCTTATATAGACCTCATGCAGAACTCATCACAGATGTTCTTTCACAGTGACAACAATTACAACATCAAAATGAATCAGTACAAACATAATGTATATATAAATTTATGTCGTAATCCAGGCTGGAGCAGAACTAAAGAGTTAAAATAAGTGTAATCCAACAACTTTTTTTTGTTTTTTTTTGATGGGCCATATAAATTTTAATTTGCTCAAACAAAAATGCATTTTACCCAATCAATATAGCTCAGACACTGACCAAGCATTTATATTGTTATTTAAGAGGTAGGAAATCCGTTTTCACAGCAACTATATAACACTTTTAAGTCTGCTTTGCTGGGCAGGTCACTTCTCATGTTATTCTGACAAAAAACCTCAGACCATCATTGTAGATTAAGGACTGACTTTGGTTAGACTGATGTAGATTTTAAAATTGGACTGCAAGAGATTTGCACTTACAGCCACTAGTCTTCCTAGAGTCATCCCACAATATCCCTGGCCATAGCTTAGTACACTATCACAGCAATACAGTTTCTAGTTACCAGGACAGCTTATATGTTATGTACAATATAGTAAACCGTGTAAGTTACTAGATTTAACCTATTACCATTGTGCTGTACTAGAAAGAAATCAGCTATAATTCCATGCAAACAGGCAAACGAACTTGTATTTTAAACTAACTTGACAGGCAAAATGTTATATTGTTGTAGAATTATTAGGCCTCTATAAATCTGTAAGGCCCCTTTAAATCCTCTTGCTATACCTCTAAGAGGCCCCCATAGTTTTACAAGAAAGCCTTGTCTATAGAACATAGAATTTGCATGTCAGCAAGAAATAGCTTTGATAAAATGTGTATTTACTAAAAGCCTTGAAACCTAACCTTGAGAAACTAACAAGTGCCAGCTACGCTCTAAATGGATAGCTGCCAAAAGGCCCCTCCCGTCGAGTGAGCTCCTCATGTTAGCAAAATGGCGCTAAAACCTGGAGGAGTTAAAAATGACATAGATAGTGACCTAAGAATGGGGAGGGCATTTTACTAACATCTTAGCACCTAAGCCAATTAACAATGTCTATTTGTCTATATCTTGATTTTCTTCAATGATGTAATAATGCCTTTAAAAGGGTCTGCGCACCCATTTTCTGCCAGAAGCCATTAAACTTCTCCGAAGTTCTTTCATTACCCTGAACTTTGTGTCTCAGTGTGAATTTACTTCTGCGTGCACGCAACTTTATTATCTTTAATTTGGACAGGAACAGATAGTCATTCAAACTAATTGGTTTGCAGTAAATTATCTACTACAATTGGCGCTTCCAACGTGGGGCTCTGGGTTATGTCCTGCCTGGGCAGCCGTCCAAGAAGACGCGGGGAGGGTGAATCCTGGGGGAAGGAAAAGAGCCTGATCACCTCTGAATACACGGTAGAGATTGCTGCAGCACCTAGCCGGTATGTTCCTACCCCTGTGATTGACCTGGCCCAGTGTCTGTGACTGCTGCCGAGAGGACATCAAAGTCAGGTAATAACTTGCCCAGAGTCTTTGTATTGTTAATGATACTTAATTTACCTGCATGTTGACTATCTGTTGCCTGGGTGTGTTTGTATTGGTTTGTGTTTAACTTAGTACCCGGGGAGTGTAAGTGCCTGTTTAACTCCTTTTAGGTACCACGTGGCTGTGGTAGTAAGGAAAAAGGGGGGTGGACCTGTGGAAGTTTTCCTGGGGGTCCTCTATTGCCTGTTTAACTCTTTTAGGAGCCACGTAGCTGTGGCTGTAAGGAAAAAGAGTAGGGGGAATCTGTGGAGGGGTGTAGACTCACTGCTTTCTGGGGGTTCCCCATAGTGTCATTTTGACCGCTTAGCTAGCCTCATCGGACACTTCTTCTTGGTAAAATTCCAGCCTCGAGCGCTGAGGCAGGTAAGATTCCAATTCTTTAGGCTATACAGGATTCGGGTTGGAAGCTGTTGCTGTTTCCTGTGGCTGCTGGTAGTGAGACTTGCGGGTGGGTCCGCAACAGGGACACTACGAGGTTGAGGGAGGTGGCTTTTGGCCACACGAGTAAAGGCAAGGGATAAAACTGTTGAACTTATTTGAACTGTGATGCATGCACTGTATTTACACTGAAATGTTATTGTCTTAATTGTCTGTCACACAGATTCCTGTGTTTACTTTTATCTTACTCACTGTACTATTTACACTTTCCCCTCCTATTTCTCTTTCTCTGTTGAGAGAAGTGATTGGTCACACACTTCTCGCCACGCTCCAATCCGCGGCTACCACGGGTAGGCGGAATCAGTGACTAGTCTACGTTTTGGGAAGACGTACTTAAAGAGCTTGCTCTTAAAGTAGCAGTCGAGCACGGTAGACGTTCTGTTCCTTTCTCTCTCTTTATCTGGGACGCCTTATATAGGGAGGATGGGACAGAAGTTAGATAAACCCAGTAAGGGTTGGTTAGCATGTGATCTAGTGGAAGACAGAGAAGGAGAAGAGATGGTTAAGAAAGTGAGTAAGATTGCTAAAGTATGTGGAATTACCGTACCTCTGTGCGGCAGATTGTAGCCAGAGAGCTGGCGTAAGTTACTGACAGAGAAGAAAGGGAAGCTGTCGGACCACGATTTGGTTTGTACAGCAGAAGCCTGGTACCGAGTAGCAAGAGCTATTCAGCAAAAGGGATAGGTTGAGGAAGAAATTGATCACAAAGGTTTAAGATTGTTTGTGTATTATAATAATTGTGTTACTGGATGCTGATGGATCCCTATTCTCCCCCCCCCATCAGTCCTACAGATCTCGTCACCCTCATCCTCTCTCTGCAGCTCCCTGCACCTCCAGTCCGTTTCTCCCGTCAAAGATTTCTGGTTTCCAAACGTATAAGTCTCTGTCCTTCTGTCTTGTTACTTTCCAGCACTCACATGGTTAATCTTCATGCCTGCAGCTTCACTCCCTTTTTTGCACTGTCTAACTTTCTCCCCCCTCTCCTCCCCGCTTGCCTGCATTTCTACTGATAAGAGTTAGAGACAGGATTTTTGCTGGACAATATTCTAATTCAAAGGTTATGGTGTTATAATTGTGTAATAATATTATTATTGTTGCCGTTTGCCGTTTATATATATATATAAATTGTGTTTTGTGATAAAGTAGTGAGGATTGTGGGGGAGACACAAGAATGTAGCTCAGTGTTGATTTACGGAGGTAAGTGAATCTGATACAAGAATAGTGGAATATTTGGACGTGTTAAGTGTAAAGGCAAGCGTGATTTGTTGCAAAACTATGCAATGAGGATGATAAGGGAAATTGGTTGAATTCCGTGAGTTTATTTTGCATCATTTTATTATTTTAAAGTTATTTTAAAGTACATGTTTCTAGAAACAGCTGTATGGGCTGTTAAATGCATAATGTTCTCAACTGTCTTATTTAACCTGCCAGGTCTGTTCATAGTTTAGTATTTCATTTTGCAGAACAGAATGTTGCTTCTCTGACTTATTTTAATAGTTATAATATAGTGTATTGTTGAAAGTGCGTCAGCCACCACCCTAAAGATGGCGCCTAGTACAGAAGGAGGTTGACCCTGCCAGTCCCGTGACCTATCTACAGTCACGGTTGCTTCTAAAGTGACGTCACTTCCGCCCTTACCATGCCCACACCTCCTGTCTTCCTTTCCCACACATATCATGGACGTCACCCCTCTCACTTCCTCCCTTGCTGTCATTTCCTTCCCCGCCCCTGTCATGGCTGCCTCCATCATGAGGCCTACCCCTATTATGCTCGTCCCATTTAGAGACATGTTGTTTTCCTTACACTCTACATATTATGAACTGAAACATTATAATTACTAAAACAATCATGCCATTTGTTTCCCTGTATCAGAAATTTGTCCGTGATAAAAAAAAAAAAGAAGGTTGCTAAAATGTAATTTGCAACTGTGGTGTGACCTACAAATGAGATCTGTTGGACACGAATATAAGAGCATAACAGCTGATTATCCAGATTAATCTTGCAACAAGGGAAATAGCCAAATAATGCAAGTTATTTTAAACATTGTATCTTTACTTAATCGAATCTTGCTAGTTACAAATCGTAGGTTTACAGTAACATCCTTTACTTTAAATGATGGTTTAGCATTAGAAGGGTTTGTTACACGTTTTATTAACCCAGCCACTACTGGTTATTCATTTTAGTTACAGGGTGGTATAATTGTTATAGTCTAATTGATATAAATGATAGTACCGCAATAGTTAATGTTTTATCCAAAGACATATAGGAACTTTACTTCACTTACTATTAACCATTATTTATAATGATAGACATGTTCAGACTGCAAAAAGCTATGGCTAATGACATAGAAAGGGGTTTGAGTCAGTAACACAGCCCATACAGAGGAGAGCAAACCCGCTGATGCTTAATGCCCCTGCCATGGCAGTGTCTACAGGGAACAAGGGGGGCCACTAGCCACTGTAACTTTACCTATTGAAGGTCACCCTACTACTTTCCTGGTTTCCTGGTTAACACAGGTGCATCCCGCAGTGTTCCTAGAGAACAAGACCTGCCTGACTCATCGTTCCTGCCTGACACCGATGTCTCTTGTGTTGGTGCTGATGTCCTATCCTGCCTCCAAGCATCCATCACCCTCACTGCAGACGGCCAGGTTCAATTAAATACACCTTTGTCACGAAAAGACACTACAGTTCTTTGTTCCCTTCCCATTTTACTGTGGAGATGATCTACCCACAACAGAACAATGCTCAATTAATCTTCTTTACTATCTAGCAGAACAAGGATGTGAAGCTTCACGTCTCAAGCTGCAATTCTGCCAACCTACTGTTATCTTCCTTGGCCATTGTCTGTCTCAGGGAACCAGACATCTCACTCGTGACCGAGTTAGAGCAGTACTGGACATTCCACCTCCAAGGACCTCAAAGTCACTACACGCCTTCCTAGGCCTCATTTCCTATTGCCGAGCATGGATCCCAGAAGCCTCGCTCCTTATGCAACCTCTTTATGATGCTCTCAAGTCAGACCCATTTTGCTTGTCCACAGAAGCCCTTGACAACTTCTGTTCTCTCAAACGTGCTATTGCTTCTGCTCCTGCTCTTGGCCTACCAGACTATACCAAACCCTTCAAATTGTTTGTTTCTGAAAGACAAGGCCATGCAACAGGAGTACTCACTCAGGCCCATGGTCCTGGAGGCCGCCAAAGGCCTATTGGATTTTTCTCCTGCCAACTGGATATTGTGGCCAGAGGACGTCCCTCTTGCCTTCGGGCCGTCTTTGCTGCCAGAGAGCTCATTGAAAGAACTGGGGATCTTGTCCTTGGCCACCCCCTGGTTGTCTTGGCCCCTCATGATATTTCTGCCATAGTCAACCAGGTCCAACTTAAGCATGTTACTCCTGCTAGGCATCTTCGCCTTCAATGTCACCTTTTGTTGCCTGACAACATTACCCTTCAAAGATGTCAAGTTCTCAATCCGTCCACTCTTCTGCCACTCCCTGAGGGGGGTGTATACTACGGATTCATCATGGACGAAACTTATGTTTTTCTTCTCACTGGCACCATCAAGAAGGAAATGCATCCCAACCTATCCTTTCATGATGGACAAGCACTCCTTCATGACGGAGCAGGATATGCCTTCTGTACCATGTGGTACAAACCAAACATCACTCC